ATGGGCAATGCGTCATCGGCATGCAGAAACAGGCCATGATACCGCTCATAGGCTTCGACGTCCTGGTCAACGTAAGCTGCGTAGGCCCGAGAATGTCGTTGGCTCTGCTGAAACCCCTTCGACACAGGTGTACCTGACGTGCATGTTCCTCGTCCCGTTGTTCAGTAAGAGCCTGGCCGCAGCTCAAGCTACCTGATGTGACCTACTGACATGGGCTGACAGACATGTACACATTCAAGAATGCACCGCGCACTCGAGCAAGCAATCGGTTAAAACGTGTGGCTACGCGGACGTTCATCGGGGCCGTCTGCACCTTGACGAGCAGTGTTGTGTACGTCATCCCGACCATATACTGGACGGAGTTTTGGGCTTGTGCTGACAAGCGTTCTATGCAGCAACCTTTCCGTGTTGATGGGCCTGAATGGCGAACCAGGATGGGTATGCCTGATGTGCTGTAATAGTGATAGTAAGTATTTCAGACCCTCTCAACGATGATTCGGGGATCATCAAGTTCCGTCTCCTCCGAGGTCGGTATGCTAACATCCGTCGTCACCATAGTACTCTTCAGTGTCGTAGTCATCCAATGGGTGACATCCCCAGACGGTCCTCAAGGAGGTTCGAACTCAAGCTCGAAGGACGAGTCGAACGAACTGGGCTCACAGAACGGAGAGCCTGACAACAGAATTGTCCCAGCGCGGCTCAGGCTAGGGCGTCGCGGTAACCATAGCGACCTGGAGGACTTCGACACGCCTGATGTCCCGACCCGCTCGCACAGCCGAGCGTCGTCTCGCAGAGAACTCAGTACCGAGGGCATGATCGACGGCAGGGCGGCCATATCGGTATCGCACAGCCGCAACCCCAGCGGCAGCACAGACACGCTGCCGAGTACCAAGCCGTTTGATCTAGACGTCGCGTCAGACCCGGCGCCTGCGCAGGATAAGCAGAGCGGCGCCCATGGCAGACCAGAGATCGCAACGCCGGAGGAGGCGCGGGTGCGCGGTAGCAACCTTTACGTTTCTAGAATATGGCGGTCGGGTCCATGACGCGTTCCGAGACGCTGGACGGCAGCGGCACCTTTTTATGTTGATGAGTAATGCAGCATTGGTTGATGGCAGTTCTTACTAGAGAAGATCTCTGAGGCGTGTTATACCTTATAGTCGGGTTAGAGACGAGTGCACGGGAGGTTTCAGGAGTCGACAGACAGCCCTATGCCTATGTGCATGTGGAAGAATGATAGATAGATCAGCAGCTTCTGACGAATGCATACATCACGTACGCCTATCACACTGAATAGCCTCCAGCTGATCAATCAGCCATGATCAGACTCGGACTCAGTCTGTCTTTTACTCCTGTGCTTGTCCCATGTAAGATGCTGAAAGGAGGATGCACTGTTGCCAAAAGAGTCCAACTGTAATGAGCGTCTTGATTTCATGTGTTGTCTAACATGCATCGAAGCACATCGCATTGTTTGTAAAGGGGTTGTAAAGGGGTTCCGACCGCTATAAGTCGAAGCAACGCATTAGCTCAGCATGACGGAAGGCGCCAAGAACGGATCCCGGCTCCTTATCGATTAGCAGTTAGCACCCCAGCACAGCGCCACCCCGCTCTTCATCCCACCCCATACAACTTAGACCGAACAGAACCTCAGTCCGCTGCAGCATCACTTCATCCAATCTTTCCTTTTTGGCTCTAAAATTGCTGGCATTCGGCTTTCATTGACTGTATCTCTTTTGCCCAAATACCTTGCTTTCGACGTCCTATTTTGTCTCCGAGTCCTCCAATCGACCCAGTCATACGACAAAGCCGGCCGCCTCTCACCGGGGTTCGCCACCACCGCCGAGCAGACGACGACAATCTCCTCGTGCTCGGCTTCACTGCCGCCCGGCCAGTGGAGCAGCGACATCGAACAACCCTATCCGAAACTAGAGCATCCTATCGATGACATACCCCTAGCACCATGGTCGCAGCCGAGCAACCCCCCCTTCCACAGCCGGAGTCCTCGGACCCAGGCGCAGCACCGAGCGATCCGCCCACCTCCTCACACCACGCCTCCTCCATCCTACAAGAAACCACGATGTCGCAAGACACATTACCGCCGACAGGACACCTCCCCGAGGCCTCGACCTCGACCTCGACCTCGACTCCGTCCAGCCACCACTCCCTCCCCGAAGACGACGGCATGGGCCTCCTCCGCGCCCGCATCATCGCCGTGCAGGCGCGCGACCTGCCGCCCGAGGAGAAGGCGATCCTGGTGCACCGGCTGCTGATGGAAGGGTACGACCGCAGCCAGGTGGCGCGGGTCGCCGTCGGGGGCGGCCGGGCGGCGGTTGCCAAGCTTGGGCTGCGCCCGGAGTACCCGGAGTACATGTGGGAGGCGCGGGCACTGGGGACGGCGGGCGGTGCGCTGGAGTCGTATAAGTTCTGGAATCACCTGGGGGAGGGGCTGGGGGGACTGAGTTTGAAGGTTAACTTGAGTGAGGAGGACCTCAGGCCGACGTTTGTGCCGTTTGAGGAAGGGGGGGACGGGGAGGAGGAGGGGGGAGGGGGTGGTGGTGGTGTCAGGCCGCTGGGGTGCGAGCATTATAGGCGGAATGTCAAGATGCAGTGCGTCACGTGCGAGAGGTGGTATACCTGCCGGCTGTGCCATGATGCGGTCGAGGATCATCAGCTGCCGCGCAAGGAGACGGTGCATATGCTGTGTATGGTGTGCGGGTGCGCGCAGAAGGTGGGGGATGGGTGCGTTAAGTGCGGGACGGCGGCGGCGAGGTATTACTGCGGTGTGTGTAAGCTGTGGAATGATGATCCGGACAAGTCGATTTATCACTGCAACGACTGTGGGATATGTCGGGTTGGTCAGGGGTTGGGGAAGGACTTTTTTCACTGCAATGTGAGTTTCTACCGGAGCGACTGGACGTGATGACAGCGGCTAACGGTGTCGCGCAGAAATGCATGGCGTGCATAGCGGTTTCGATATCGGAGAAGCACAAGTGCATCGAGCGCTCGACGGACCGCGACTGCCCCATCTGCGGGGACAACATGTTCGACAGCGTCAAGCGCGTCATATTCATGGACTGCGGGCACACGATCCACCACTCCTGTTTCAAAGAGCTGCTCAAGACGTCGTACCGGTGTCCCTTGTGCAACAAGTCGGTGGTCAACATGGAGATACAGTTCCGCAACTACGACGCCGCCATCCAGAACCAGCCCATGCCGGCCGAGTACCGCGACGCGCGCGCCGTGGTGTCGTGCAACGACTGCTCCGCCAAGAGCCAGACGGCGTACCACTGGCTCGGGCTCAGGTGCTCCATCTGCCAGAGCTACAACACCGTCGCGCTGCAGCTGCTCGACCTGCCGAGCAACGCGCCCGTGCCGGTTCCCGGGTCCGAGGTGGCGGCGCTGGCCGTCGGGGCGGGCGCGGGCGCGGTGTCGCCTAGCCTGGGCATGGACGCGCTGCCCTCGCCGCCGCTGGCTGCCGTGGCGCCGCCTACCATGACGGCCGGGCCGTCGGCGCCGCGGACCGTCGCGGACACGCTAAGGCAGCAGCCGCACCACCTTGCTACGTGGATGGCGGCGTCTGGGTCGCGACAGCCGTCGCTGCCTCAGGAAACTTCGGAGAGTTCTATGGAGTCGGCCGGGCCGGCCTTTTCGCCCGATAGGATGGACGCTTCGCCTCCGCCGTTGCCTGTCCTGCCAGCTGCTGCTGCTGTTCGGCGGGAGGCGGAGTCTGACGAGGATGACGAGGAGGAAGAGGCGGACGGGTTCTGGGACGGGGACGTGCTGGGGAATATCCTGTCTTCTCCGGGCGAGAGCGATAACGACGCCGGGTCTCGGGGACGCGGGTCGGAGGACGAGTCTGGGTCTGACGACGACAGTGGCGCGGATGATGACGAGGAAGAGGATGAGGAGGATGATAAGGAGGAGCGGCTGATGCTGCCTGGACATAGGTAGGGCTTTGGGCATTGCGCTGTGTATATATTGATGGAGATTGGCTCTCTTTTGTATGCATTCCGGTTATGGGGTACGGCCGCTCCGGAAGGGTCTGGGTAGGGGGTAGCAAGGGCGTTCGGACATTGGCAGCGGTGTTTGGGATTTTTGTCGTTACAAAAGGCGTGCTTGGAGGGTTTTGTATGCATGAACAGCAGCGGGTATTGGGCATGACTACAGGGTATGTCGAGAACTATGAGCAGGAGTATGCCGCTCGAGGGCCTGTCGATACGACTATTCTCATCGCGACTGGACATAGCACTACACTTCGTGGGATAGCGGGTGTGCACCAACTAATAACATGGGTTGAGGTCTGCAATCCGACCATTTTCCAGCCTTCTGTATCCCGTGCGCATTGCGAAGAACCAATCCACCAATCCGTTGTCATAATTCGTGAACTCCCATTCTCCAGAACCAAAACCTCCACCGGGTCATGAAGCGGCCATCACCTCTGCCGAGAAGCAGACTCGATCTGGACCTCCTGGGCCTCGGCGCGGAGCTCCTTCACCACACTCTAGATACGGCAGTGAGTAAGATTATCAGTTACATTGCAGATGAAGGTATGGCTTACCGCCAGTGCTTCCGGGTTGATGCCGTTCTCGATCAGGGAAATGCAGATTGACACTGTTCGTCGGTCGAGGTGGCAGTTCTGTGCCGGGCACCCGGTTAGAATACAAAGGATCCGAGTTGGATTGGCCTTTGAGAGGATGATGATGCCTTACCAGGATTGTCGATATCTCGTGCAGAATGTCAACCGCTTGGTGCGCGGCAGCTTGCTTCTCGGCCTTTTCCGTCGCTAGCGGTGTGCCCTTCGGGGTCCTGTCGTCTTTCGGCATGGTGGTTACATGGGGGTTTGTATGATTTGTTGTTGGGGTTGCCGTTGTGGACGATGAGGGTTGACAGTCGTTGTGACTTTGTGAGCGGGTGAGTGAGTGAGAACGCGACGCGGTTTGGCAAGTTTTAGTGGGGCCGGGTTGAGGTCTTCATAAATGGTAATAAGCCAACCGCAATTCATAGGGAGTCTGGCCGAGTGGTCTTAAGGCGCTGTGTTTAGGTTCTGATCACCGATCCGCAGTGGGGTAACCCGCGCAGGTTCGAATCCTGCGGCTCTCATATCTTCATTTTTTGCCTTTTTGCGTCTATCTAGCTATCTGTCTGTCCTTTATGTGGTTTCTTTTTTTTATTCTTCCTCGTCTTTGTTAAGTATCAATCTGGCTAAGTTGCGCTAGCTGATAGATTGATACCTCAGCAGGAGCCCCGATTGATGATGAAGCATGCATTCGGGCGACACGTATAGAGGCGCTGTCAAGTTACACAAGTCTACCTCCCTACCGCTGTTTAAGCTCCAAACACCGACCACGTATCGCAAGAGAAACAACCAAGAAGTGCACTATATGACAGGCATCAAAGAAATATCACCAGATCACGAGAGATGAGGGGCGTAAAGACTTAAGAGTTCATTTACTCGGACGTCCAGCATATCGATCCATCTCCTTGCTCCAATCTGTGCTGCTAGCCGAACGTCGTCCATCATTCTGAAAATCAAAGCGCCATGTATACCTCCATTTTTCCTTTTTGCATTCCTCACGGTCGAGAAGGTCGATGCGGCGACCGTCACCGGAGAACCTCACTATCATGTGTGAAGGTACTGTCTGTCCATCATGACCAATCGAGTGGCAGCCTGAAATCCCCATGTAATAACACAACGGCAGCAGTCTTCCACGGTAGTTGTCGGCCAAGATATGGCTAGGCGTGGAAGTCATGCCGCGAGACGCCAAACGCAGTATCGCATCCTTGCCGGGTATCTCTCGCACTTAACCTCATCGTGAAACCGAAACCGATACCGAAAATCAAATGCAAAATGAGTGTGGTGGGAACAGTCCCAAAGACGTCAGGAAACCAGAAAGGCTGGAAATGTGCTGCAGCAGAAAGCTTCATGCTGTCGGCCACACGGCACGGGCAACCTAGTTCATGACAAACACCTCGGACCTCAACACGCGCTTGGGGTTGATGCTGACGCCGCGGTCGTCGCGGAAGAGGATGGCCGGGGTGACGACCAGCTTGATGCGGTACTGCTTGGCCTGCAGCATCAGCGGGTCGCAGGGCGGCTCCTTGGGCACGTGGTAGTCGAGCGAGAACTTGCTGCAGGTGAGGCTCCACGAGAACTCGAAGTTGAGGCGCGACTGGAACATGAGGGCCGAGACCTGCAGGGCCGTGGAGGCGACGGCGTGCAGGTCGAAGCCGGCGTCGGTGCGCGACGCCTCCGGGTCCATGAGCGGGCCGACGATGGTCTTGAGGCGCTGCTGGTGGAAGGAGATGCGCCGGGCGCGGTACTCGTTGAAGGACGGGTCGGCGAGCATGCGGCCGATGGTGCTCGAGATCTGGTCGATGATCGACTGGCGGATGTAGGACTTGAAGACTGCCTGCGTGTTAGCTGGGTCAGAGTGGAGGAGGTAAGGGAATAGCATACCCTCGGTGCTCTGCAGACGGTCGTTCAGCTCCTTCAGCTCTCGATCCGTGTCATCGTTGAATCCCATCCATCCCTCGACGGAGAGGACGTTGTTGACAATGTACTGCAGCATCATGCGCTCAACGAAGAAAGAGCGGCACTGCTCATCCTCGAGGAGGAAGCGGGCATGAGATGCACCGGCCTCGGGCTGACCCGGGTAGAGGATGTCGCACATAAACTCCCAGAGGCGTGGGGCTTCCTTCTGAATCGTAAGAGCCTGGTCGGGCTGGACCTGGACCGCGTACTGGGCGGCCCATCCGTTGACCAGGCGAAAGATCTTGGAGAACTCCTCCTTCCAGACCTCGATGGCATTGATCAGCTCCGCCTCGTTCTGGCGGATGACCATCTGGCGGGCCCGGGAGAGCTGCGGGCTGCCGAACTCCTGCCCCGTCGCCGTCGGCTCAGCAATGTCGTCGAAGCGATAGCGTGCGGCGCCGGCGTCGACTCGTCCGGAGCCGGGACGGCCGGTGGAGGGCCTGGATCTCGGGTGGCTGAAGCGCGTGGCGTTTGGGATCGGGTGCGTGGACTGCGGACGCATGATGCTGCCGGAGTGGAACGCCGAAGGAGTACGACGCATCGTCGGCGCGGGAGGAGTCACGCGTGATGGCCCGCGGCCAGACCAAGCAAAGTCCGCGGCAGGCGTGGCCGAGCCGCTCTGGATGGCCATCATCGTGGGTTGGTAGGAGACTAGGTTGGATATTAGTGCGTTGAATATGGACTTAACACCACCTTGCGACGTACCCGAGCGGTTGTGTGCCGGAGCCTGGGCGTTGTTGCTGAAGAGGATCTCGAGGATCTTTGCCTTGTCCTGCGGGGCTGAATCGATGAGGCTCTGGATGATCTTGGCCTTCTCAGCGTAGTCGTTGTCGCTGACAATGGAGAGAATCCTCGCCTTGCCCTCGACGTCATCATGGGCGGTGTAGAACAGATGGCGTTTGCCCTCCAGCTGTTCCTGATATTGCTGCTTGTGAGGTTAGTTTCTTCTTTCCCGCATCGATTTGAAGTTAGGGTAGGGACGGACCTTGAGTTGCTGCTGGCTGCGCTCGTTCTGTTCCTTCAAGCTCACAAGCACATGCTGGTAAGACTGCTGCACTTCCTCGTTGTTCTTCTCGGCCCGGGTAAGTGACATGCGGAGTTCTTCGTTGCGACTCCGCAGGCGCTCAATCTGGACGGCCTGCATCCCGGCAGTGGCCTGGAAAGTCTGGCTCTCATTGTCCTTGTTCTTCGCATGGTCTGCCTCTGAGGCCACCCTATCGACGAAGCCTTGGAGGTTACCCAGATCCTGTGTGAGATTCTTCAGAGCACGGTCGAGGCCCTGCTGGAACTGGGGCGGCAGCCCTTCCTGCTGATAGGTCTTCTGGAGCAGGTTGAAGATTTGTTCCTGCGCGTGTCGGATGTACTTGTTCGCTTCCTACAGGACACTTAGCCGCTACGTTATGGGGTTGATACATGGGGAGAACTCACCTGCTGATATTCCTTTAGCTTGATACCTCCAATGCCAGTAGTCATGGCGTCAACAGAGCTGGTAGTATTGCTCGACTGCGAGGCGAGCACCAGATGGTGTCCGCCATGGGGCGAGATGTAGGTGCCATAGTCTCTGGGCATGGGTATGTGATAGTAACCCGAGCTGGCGGAGCTCTCAGACGGGATACCGAAGCTGGGCTTCGGCAAGGCGGGATAACCCATGTTGGGGATCTGCATGGTGGGGGGGATCTGGATAGGTGCTCGGTGGTGAAACGGAGCAGGTTGGGCGGCAGCACGCTCTGCAGTGCGCTGGCCCTTGGGAAGAGGAGTTGGTGAATCTGTATCATTTACCTGCGCTACCTGTAGTTTCTTGTGGCTGGAGTCCTTGGATGGAGCCGGTGGCGCTTGAAGACCCGAAGGCTGGCGGCGAGGTTGAGGGACGAGCTTGGCACCGCCATGGTGGCTTCTATCGTCGGAGGAAGAATCAGACATCTTGATCAGATGAGGCGAGAGTCGTGTGGAGAGGTTAGTGTCATATGTGGATGAGTAGCGAGTATGGTGATATGGCAACTAGCTGGACACCACCGTCGTCAGTGAGAGATGAGTTTTGGTTCAGAAATAGAGGAGAACGGCGTGTCAGACGAACACGCTCTGATTGACGAGGCGTGGAAACTGGCTTCGCGGCAGAGATGAAGCTGATGCGAGCAAACAATCGACCTCAACTCGCAAAGTCAGCTGAAAGAGAGAGAAAGTTCTGGTACTCGCTCTGGCTTGGAGGTGTTGAGAAAAGTTGAAACTCGACACTTTTTGCAAGCCAGAAAGGTGAACTGCGGGTGATGAGAGCCGGAGGAGCCCAGTTCGGGAGACAAACCTGGATCTTGGAGACACCCCCGTGTTTTGAGGAAGGCGCAATCGACAGAGATTCGTGTCTATAGTAGTGCTGATGTCGACTGCTGCTTTCAGAGGACTGCGCTTGAAGAGGACGAGGGCAGTCGGATAAAGAGGACTGAAAGATCGTGAGGCTGCGACCAAGAGAGAATCACGAGAAACAATGATCGGGTTTCCGGAAGCAGAGAGAAGAGTAAGCGGAGGTCTCTGCGAGCCAGAATGCCGAGTGTGAGGAGGCTCCGCAGTGACAAAGTGTGAGTGCGGCCAAACAAAATCTTCTCGTGTGCGTCAAGAAATCGAGTGTGTGGTCGACAAAGCTGGAGGGCTTGTGGTTAAGAACCGGTGAATGATAACCGCACTTAAGGCAGGTGCGAGTGTCTCTGTGGTGGTGAGTGAACGGTGAGAGTCGCCCAAGCGTACTGGACCAGACACATCTAACAAGCATTCCCCTACACATTGTCTTCCGGGTTGCCTTCAGTTCCCTCTCTAGCTATCATATTCGATGTGCCAGTCGACCGTATAAACCGTTCGGATCCTGTCTGACTTCCGGCCACAATGGTGCCTTGTAAGCATAGCATCAGTGATCATGGCGAGCATGTCCAGTTGTTGTACGAGCAGGGCCATGGCAGGACTTGCTGCCAGTATTCGCAAGACTGGCCGCCGCCAGGCCATGCGGCCCTTGGAGAAAGATCAACAGCGGATCTGGATAGAAAGACCAGCGTGTAAATATAAGGAATCTCATCGAAGGGCATGAATAAAACGATCCGATCCAGACAATCGAAGAATACCATCCAAGACAACAATAGAAGATATCATGTCCAAAGACAATACCTGACACCTAGCCCTGAAGCACTAGTGTCCACACGAGAAGTGACGATAAGACTTTGTGCTTGGCGTCTTCAAGAGAAAAGCACATGCTTCGTTGGGATGAAGACAAGGAGAGATGAATGCTATACAATGAACGGCTGCTCTAGGATCCTCGCTAGATGTTTGATTTGGGTGAAGTAACGAAGTTAAAGGAGATGACAATGAATAAGAGGTCGGCGTCACTGAAGCACGTTGATTCAGCCTCCGACAGTCATGAGACGTGAAATAGCGTACTTTGTTGGTGTTGCGGAGGGCACTCGACTCTGCCCATAATGAGTTAGGGGTATCATGACGCGTATGAGAGAATAGACGCGTCAAGAACGTTAAGAATCTGAAGGACGGGAGCTAACCAAGTAAGCAAACGCAAACTTATCTCAGAGGTCGG